TCTCAAAACTCTGGATTCTGATAGAGGGCCATGAGACTTAGACCTGAGTGCAAAAATGGAGGCTCTAGACCCTTCCAGAGCTGAGATATCGAAACTCAAAATTTCGACCCGAAAAAAAAACGACAGTGTTACCCCTTACGTTTTTTTTTTGGGCGAAAAATTAAGTTTCCCAATCTTCTCAAAACTCTGGATTCTGATAGAGGGCCATGAGACTTAGACCTGAGTGCAAAAATGGAGGCTCTAGACCCTTCCAGAGCTGAGATATCGAAACTCAAAATTTCGACCCGAAAAAAAAAACGACAGTGTTACCCCTTACGTTTTTTTTTTTTGGGCGAAAAATTAAGTTTCCCCAATCTTCTCAAAACTCTGGATTCTGATAGAGGGCCATGAGACTTAGACCTGAGTGCAAAAATGGAGGCTCTAGACCCTTCCAGAGCTGAGATATCGAAACTCAAAATTTCGACCCGAAAAAAAAACGACAGTGTTACCCCTTACGTTTTTTTTTTTGGGCGAAAAATTAAGTTTCCCCAATCTTCTCAAAACTCTGGATTCTGATAGAGGGCCATGAGACTTAGACCTGAGTGCAAAAATGGAGGCTCTAGACCCTTCCAGAGCTGAGATATCGAAACTCAAAATTTCGACCCGAAAAAAAAAACGACAGTGTTACCCCTTACGTTTTTTTTTTTGGGCGAAAAATTAAGTTTCCCCAATCTTCTCAAAACTCTGGATTCTGATAGAGGGCCATGAGACTTAGACCTGAGTGCAAAAATGGAGGCTCTAGACCCTTCCAGAGCTGAGATATCGAAACTCAAAATTTCGACCCGAAAAAAAAACGACAGTGTTACCCCTTACGTTTTTTTTTTGGGCGAAAAATTAAGTTTCCCAATCTTCTCAAAACTCTGGATTCTGATAGAGGGCCATGAGACTTAGACCTGAGTGCAAAAATGGAGGCTCTAGACCCTTCCAGAGCTGAGATATCGAAACTCAAAATTTCGACCCGAAAAAAAAACGACAGTGTTACCCCTTACGTTTTTTTTTTTGGGCGAAAAATTAAGTTTCCCCAATCTTCTCAAAACTCTGGATTCTGATAGAGGGCCATGAGACTTAGACCTGAGTGCAAAAATGGAGGCTCTAGACCCTTCCAGAGCTGAGATATCGAAACTCAAAATTTCGACCCGAAAAAAAAACGACAGTGTTACCCCTTACGTTTTTTTTTTGGGCGAAAAATTAAGTTTCCCAATCTTCTCAAAACTCTGGATTCTGATAGAGGGCCATGAGACTTAGACCTGAGTGCAAAAATGGAGGCTCTAGACCCTTCCAGAGCTGAGATATCGAAACTCAAAATTTCGACCCGAAAAAAAAACGACAGTGTTACCCCTTACGTTTTTTTTTTTTGGGCGAAAAATTAAGTTTCCCAATCTTCTCAAAACTCTGGATTCTGATAGAGGGCCATGAGACTTAGACCTGAGTGCAAAAATGGAGGCTCTAGACCCTTCCAGAGCTGAGATATCGAAACTCAAAATTTCGACCCGAAAAAAAAAACGACAGTGTTACCCCTTACGTTTTTTTTTTGGGCGAAAAATTAAGTTTCCCCAATCTTCTCAAAACTCTGGATTCTGATAGAGGGCCATGAGACTTAGACCTGAGTGCAAAAATGGAGGCTCTAGACCCTTCCAGAGCTGAGATATCGAAACTCAAAATTTCGACCCGAAAAAAAAACGACAGTGTTACCCCTTACGTTTTTTTTTTTTGGGCGAAAAATTAAGTTTCCCAATCTTCTCAAAACTCTGGATTCTGATAGAGGGCCATGAGACTTAGACCTGAGTGCAAAAATGGAGGCTCTAGACCCTTCCAGAGCTGAGATATCGAAACTCAAAATTTCGACCCGAAAAAAAAACGACAGTGTTACCCCTTACGTTTTTTTTTTTGGGCGAAAAATTAAGTTTCCCAATCTTCTCAAAACTCTGGATTCTGATAGAGGGCCATGAGACTTAGACCTGAGTGCAAAAATGGAGGCTCTAGACCCTTCCAGAGCTGAGATATCGAAACTCAAAATTTCGACCCGAAAAAAAAACGACAGTGTTACCCCTTACGTTTTTTTTTTTGGGCGAAAAATTAAGTTTCCCAATCTTCTCAAAACTCTGGATTCTGATAGAGGGCCATGAGACTTAGACCTGAGTGCAAAAATGGAGGCTCTAGACCCTTCCAGAGCTGAGATATCGAAACTCAAAATTTCGACCCGAAAAAAAAACGACAGTGTTACCCCTTACGTTTTTTTTTTTGGGCGAAAAATTAAGTTTCCCCAATCTTCTCAAAACTCTGGATTCTGATAGAGGGCCATGAGACTTAGACCTGAGTGCAAAAATGGAGGCTCTAGACCCTTCCAGAGCTGAGATATCGAAACTCAAAATTTCGACCCGAAAAAAAAACGACAGTGTTACCCCTTACGTTTTTTTTTTTGGGCGAAAAATTAAGTTTCCCCAATCTTCTCAAAACTCTGGATTCTGATAGAGGGCCATGAGACTTAGACCTGAGTGCAAAAATGGAGGCTCTAGACCCTTCCAGAGCTGAGATATCGAAACTCAAAATTTCGACCCGAAAAAAAAACGACAGTGTTACCCCTTACGTTTTTTTTTTTGGGCGAAAAATTAAGTTTCCCAATCTTCTCAAAACTCTGGATTCTGATAGAGGGCCATGAGACTTAGACCTGAGTGCAAAAATGGAGGCTCTAGACCCTTCCAGAGCTGAGATATCGAAACTCAAAATTTCGACCCGAAAAAAAAACGACAGTGTTACCCCTTACGTTTTTTTTTTTGGGCGAAAAATTAAGTTTCCCCAATCTTCTCAAAACTCTGGATTCTGATAGAGGGCCATGAGACTTAGACCTGAGTGCAAAAATGGAGGCTCTAGACCCTTCCAGAGCTGAGATATCGAAACTCAAAATTTCGACCCGAAAAAAAAACGACAGTGTTACCCCTTACGTTTTTTTTTTTTGGGCGAAAAATTAAGTTTCCCAATCTTCTCAAAACTCTGGATTCTGATAGAGGGCCATGAGACTTAGACCTGAGTGCAAAAATGGAGGCTCTAGACCCTTCCAGAGCTGAGATATCGAAACTCAAAATTTCGACCCGAAAAAAAAACGACAGTGTTACCCCTTACGTTTTTTTTTTTGGGCGAAAAATTAAGTTTCCCCAATCTTCTCAAAACTCTGGATTCTGATAGAGGGCCATGAGACTTAGACCTGAGTGCAAAAATGGAGGCTCTAGACCCTTCCAGAGCTGAGATATCGAAACTCAAAATTTCGACCCAAAAAAAAACGACAGTGTTACCCCTTACGTTTTTTTTTTGGGCGAAAAATTAAGTTTCCCCAATCTTCTCAAAACTCTGGATTCTGATAGAGGGCCATGAGACTTAGACCTGAGTGCAAAAATGGAGGCTCTAGACCCTTCCAGAGCTGAGATATCGAAACTCAAAATTTCGACCCGAAAAAAAAAACGACAGTGTTACCCCTTACGTTTTTTTTTTTGGGCGAAAAATTAAGTTTCTCCAATCTTCTCAAAACTCTGGATTCTGATAGAGGGCCATGAGACTTAGACCTGAGTGCAAAAATGGAGGCTCTAGACCCTTCCAGAGCTGAGATATCGAAACTCAAAATTTCGACCCGAAAAAAAAACGACAGTGTTACCCCTTACGTTTTTTTTTTGGGCGAAAAATTAAGTTTCCCCAATCTTCTCAAAACTCTGGATTCTGATAGAGGGCCATGAGACTTAGACCTGAGTGCAAAAATGGAGGCTCTAGACCCTTCCAGAGCTGAGATATCGAAACTCAAAATTTCGACCCAAAAAAAAACGACAGTGTTACCCCTTACGTTTTTTTTTTGGGCGAAAAATTAAGTTTCCCCAATCTTCTCAAAACTCTGGATTCTGATAGAGGGCCATGAGACTTAGACCTGAGTGCAAAAATGGAGGCTCTAGACCCTTCCAGAGCTGAGATATCGAAACTCAAAAATTCGACCCGAAAAAAAAAACGACAGTGGTACCCCTTTCGTTTTTTTTTTCGGGCGAAAAATTAAGTTTCTCCAATCTTCTCAAAACTCTGGATTCTGATAGAGGGCCATGAGACTTAAACCTGAGTGCAAAAATTGAGGCTCTAGACCCTTCCAGAGCTGAGATATCGAAACTCAAAATTTCGACCCGAAAAAAAAAACGACAGTGTTACCTCTTTCGTTTTTTTTTTTTTTCGGGCGAAAAATTAAGTTTCTCCAATCTTCTCAAAACTCTGGATTCTGATAGAGGGCCATGAGACTTAGACCTGAGTGCAAAAATGGAGGCTCTAGACCCTTCCAGAGCTGAGACATTGAGATCCCACATAGCCCGCCTGCAATCTATTGAATGGGGATTTGGGTAGTTTAATTTTTGGACATTTTAATTCAAGTTCCTGTCATGATAAAAGCTATTTTACTGCACTCAGAGGGGCGCCCTGAGTCTGTGGCACCAAGCGCCATCCCATAATTCCACCGTCCACGAACCCACTATTTTTATAATGGCATAAATTCTACATGGGTTCTCAATATCTCAGCTCAGGAAGGGTCTAGAGACTCCATTTTTGCTCTCAGGTCTAAGTCTCATGGCCCTCCATCAGAATCCAGAGTTTCAAGACGATCAGAGAAACTCAAAATTTCGACCCCAAAAAAAAACGACAGAAACGTTTTAACTGTTGGAGGTGTAAAGGAGTTGGATAGTAAAGTACAGTTGTGATTTTGCTGTAAACACATGTTTTATTATGTATAGCTAACAGGGGAGCTCCAGTACACGTAACATTACGTTTCTAAAGTGGATTTACACAACCATACATCTTAAACACGCTTATTTAAAATGTCTATTTACATCATGAAGGAAAATATTGTATAATAAGTTGGATAAAAAGTGAGTTAACATATCAACCTCAGCATGTAAATGCAGTGTTGAGCTCGTAATGTGAATCTTGTCTGTATGTTACAGGGACAGAAGAACAAGAATGTGTTTATCCGGTGGAGAGTGGCTCATGATGCTGAATGCTGTCATCAAAGGCTTTGACTGAGTATACTACAGAAATGGATAACAAAATCTAGCAAATATTAAGTTGTAGTTTATTTGAATTATTGTAATTTCAAACAGAGATATTACAACACTTTTCATAGTCTTGCTTTCTGTGCATTTGCTGCAGAGCTTTTGTGGAGGAGCAGGACCTGCAAGGAAAGATGATGGCAGCATTTGTTGGGGGAAAAAAAGGTTTTAAGGATTTTATTCAAATATAAAGTAAGGTTATTTTTAATACATAAATGAAATGGCATTGTGCTGTTAAAATGACTGCTTTTGTGTAACGTTTGTGCATTTTTGTAGGATCTGAAATGTCTGCAGACTGGTGTGAGCACTGAGGATGAGGAGCCCAGAGCCGAATCCTGGAAGTGGTGCCATGGATGAGACCCTCCATCACTCCATCTGCCCTTATGAGTCCCTCCATCTCTCCACCTGCCCTTATTGCCTCAGATTGTGAAGCGCAGCACAGCAACAAGCTCTGGGACAAAGGCACAGTCACATCTGGTGAATTCAGCAGAATGGGAACCGCTGTGTTGAGATGGCAGTAGGGTTTGGTGTTCTGCGGCTGTAAATACATGCTTGTAGTTTGAATAAAGCTTTGTTTCATGTGTTGTTGACTTGTATATGCATTTGTTTATTGTGCTGGTTACTTTTATTTGTTCTTTTACTCATTTATGCTTCTTATTGTTGTCTGTATATAAAATATACTGTAATTATTTAATTAATGTATGCATTAATTCATCGATTGACTGACAATTGAGATGTTTCACTGCATTTAGCAATATGAATGTATTCATGCATAACTGTCATATGACAAAACAAATTACATTTTGCTTGTTATATTAAATTATATTTTTAGTATATAAAAAGTTATATAATTAAGTATTGGTCAGCATTTAATATTATTATTTTGTTTAAGTTTTGGGGTGGGCTAGCAATGCAATTCATTCTGAGGTATATTATTTTTCAAGGAGTGATACTTATTTTTTATTTTTTTTTTAATACAAAATCAACAGTTTTCTCAAAAAGAGATCTTCAATCAGCTGCCCGTCTCCTTTGTGCAGACATTACAAACGCAGAAACCAGTGATGTACCAAGTGTTAGTGCACCTGTTGCTCTGCTCATATAATTTAAACTTATTACACACTGTACAAGATCATGGAAAGATACAATAATATAACAATCATAATGACAAAACAGAAAATATAAAGATCATTGGTTTGTGGACATCATAATAAGAAATTATAAAATTATATTTATACACTAGAAAAAAAAACAATAGCAAGGCTAAATATCTTCATAATAATTCTTCATATACATAAAAAAAATCTGAGGGATGAAACGAGATATTCATCAATAAAAAGAGGAAAACATAAAGGAGAAACTTTTGGGGTATAAAATAAAGAAATTAACAACATATTCAAGAGATGACGATTTTGGGGTTTCTTAATAAAAATATATATAGCGTTAAAAGAATAACACTGTTGGTCACATAAAATATAACAACTTAAATCAACCCTAAATGTATTCACAAACTAAATGGGCAGCTGTTACTTCAACAAAACCACAATAAGATGAGCAAGTTTCATCAATATCGAGATATATAGATGATGAAAATGGAGTCTCTAGACCCTTCCTGAGCTGAGATATTGAGATTCTCAATATCTCAGCTCAGGAAGGGTCTAGAGCCTCCATTTTTGCACTCAGGTCTAAGTCCCATGGCCCTCTATAAGAATCCAGAGTTTCAAGAAGATCAGAGAAACTATCCATTCACTACCATTGTGATGTTTTTCTTTTTCTTTTTTCCTTTCTCATTATATAGTCTCATATGATTCTGGAGATGTCTGTAACCCCCCCCAAAAAAAACAATAAAAATGTTGATCACAAAAAAAGAAGATCAGAGAAACTCAAAATTTCGACCCCCCCAAAAAATACGACAGTGTTTAGCAGGGTACCCCTGTCGTTTTTTTTTTTTTTTTTTCAGTGCGAAAAAAAAGGTTTCTCCAATCTTCTCAAAACTCTGGATTCTGATAGAGGGCCATGAGACTTAGACCTCAGTGCAAAAATGGAGGCTCTAGACCCTTCCTGAGCTGAGATATTGAGATACCATGTAGAATTTATGCCATTATAAATATCTCAATATCTCAACTCTGGAAGGGTCTAGAGCGTCCATTTTTGCACTCAAGTCTAAGTCCCATGGCTCTCTATAAGAATCCAGAGTTTCAAGAAGATCAGAGAAACTCAAAATTTCGACCCCCCCAAAAATACGACAGTGGTACCCCTGACGTTTTTTTGGGGGGGGTTTTTGTTGCGGAAAAAAAAAGTTTCTCCTATCTTCTTGAAACTCTGGATTCTGATAGAGGGCAGTGGGACTTAGACCTGAGTGCAAAAATGGAGGCTCTAGACCCTTCCAGAGCTGAGATATTGAGATATTTATAATGGCATAAATGCTACGTGGGATCTCAATATATCAGCTCAAGGGTCTAGAGATGCAAATGTAAAAGACCTGACTCCATTTTTGCACTCAAGTCTAAGTCTCATGGCCCTCTATCAGAATCCATAATTTACTCACCCTTAAGCCATCCTAGGTCTATTTGACTTTTCTTCTTTTAGCCAAACATAATCGGAGTTATATATATTAAAAAAAATGTCCTGGTTCTTCCAAGCATTATAATGGGAGTGAATGTTACCCTAGATTCTATTTATAACTTTTATAAACTATAACCGACTTCCAGTAACGGCCGTATGCTAGTCTAGTTCCGGTCACACCGGAAAACACCGGTCACGAATTAGAATATTTTTAAAGTGAATTGTCAGAGAATTTTAATGGAGCTTGAGTTTGTTGCCCAGTCCTATTTGTTTGAACCGCGAGAGGCTTCTACTCTCACCTAAGCTTATATGCTACTCCTATATCCTACATCATATGTCAGGTTAGAGGTCACTCTTCCACCAGAACTTCCCATTATGCCCAAATGCAATTTCAGTGTTTTTAATCATGAGACTTCCACAGAAGATGTACATTTTGTTATATTTTGACCACTTCTATAACAAAGTGTTTATGAAAACCATTACCTACCCTAGCTTTAATTACTATGATGTCCCAATGTAAACTCTAGACCTTATAAGGTGTTGAGGGTCATTTTTAAAGATGGCAACAGTGGATGGGATGTACCATCACTCAACGGCAAATAGTATTTACAATTTTTTTTTAGCTAATTTATGGGTTTAAGAAATACTTGTCAAATTATTTCAGTTTTTTTAGGTTTTGTGGAAGTAAAAATAACTTAATCTTGACCTAAATCTTTTAGATTGCAACTGTCACCATTAGAAATATTATAACTCATGGCATGGTTTCCCTTGAATCATTACCATTTCCAAAATCTCATAAGCTGCAAAAATTAGACAAATAAGAGTTTAGTTGGAGTTTGGTGTCTGCAACCATAAATGCAACCAATTTTTCCAACACGTTTGTGACAGTCTTTAAAGCATGCGGGCCTACCATTGTTGATGGTGATACAGCACGTAGGTTTTCTCTGTTGGAACTAGTGCCAAACCTCGGCAGATTCATGCAGGCCCAGAGATGGCATGCAAGGAAGCTATTACGGTTACATAATGATGCAGTTGAAACCAAATGTAGGCTCGGGTGAACATTTTCCTAGAAATTCTCAACATGGAATGTTCTCTATGCTGACATGGTAAAGTAATATATCTTTATCATGACACCCTTGAGATGCTCATAGCCACAAATGTCACTTCCAACCTACAAATTGCTGTTATTTTATCTTTTACCTGAAAAAAGACAGACAGGGCGGTGTTAACCCATTGAAAGTGAACAATTAGCATGATTATATAAGATAATGTTTAATGGATTATGGATTATGTTATTAAGATTTGAATGTACTGTATATAAGAATTATGTTGGTATTAATAAATGTTTGTTTATGGAAGTAGTTGGGTGTGATATAGGGAGCAATACCTGCATTTCTGTTATTAAGTATGAAATAATGGATTTTTAAGAATTTTAGGCTACATGATTTGTTTAAGGGGCATATGTTGCACACACACACATATTTATTTTTATTTATTTTTTTATATACACCATTCAAAGGTTTCTGTCAGTAAGACTTAAAAAATGTATTCAGCAAATGTGTCTACATATATGAATAAATAATATCTTTATAGAATGTTGAGGTCTATAAATAAAACGAATGAATGGATTATTTAGTCTTGGTGATTCGCTTTCACCACAAAGCACATTTTAGATGATTTTCCTGATCACAGAATGTACTGTAAAAGCTCAGATAAAACATTTCAAAAGTCTCATTCAGTGAGACGTAAAGCCCGTGTCACGTTTTCCAAAGAGGTTAAACTAATCTTAGATATGGATTTGACCTCTTTTCAGAAACATTTGTTTTGAAACAAAACAATTCAATGTGAAAATCCTCACTGGAAACAATCATAAAGAAAATCAACTGAGTGAAAAATGACCATCGTCTGCTTTACGCATGACTTCCTATACTGACTGAGTTCATTAATGCTGTTTAGAGTTACACTTGTTTTTCTTGAAAGATTATACAGATCTGAAATAAAATATGGTGCTATGGTGCGGATCGATGGGAAGGATCATAATGTTTTCTTTCCAAACAAAGACGGCTGTTATGGCATACCGCAGATGACCCTAGGGCAGTACAGACTGAGAGGTCATAAGACACAGAGAAAACCTACATTAATTGTTCGTTGGCTTGTCTGTTAACTCTAAAATCGTCAGAGACCTGCATTCCATTTCAACATAACATCAAATTGCTCACTGAATTCATTTAGGTTATCCTAATCCATGTTTTGGGATTATAGGTCTCAGAACTGTCTGTTTTTGTCATAGGCCAGATATTTCTAACTTCAGACATTCCAAAAATACAGCAGTGCAAAGGGAGAAAGGTCTTTTCAACACCTTCTGTGTCCCCGCTGAACACTTTAGATTGAGTTTCAGTGCAGAGGTCAACTGGGGTTAATTTGGCTCTTGGGACCCGTCTTTTGCTTTTCCACTAAGGACCAAATAATGAAAACTACTTGATGCTATTTCATATAGATAAACACTTTTTATTTTTATATTTAAATAATTATAATTATATATTTATATAAACCATGGTTTAAAAATCCTTTAGTTTCTGCATATCCCC